AATAATATGATTATAAAAACATTGGTCGATAAGTATGTTTGTCTTGTGCATGCGTTCTTTACTCACAAACACATAGACCCACACATACACGAATTTAGGGATAGGACACATATTATAAGGGTGTTTGTTCATATCGCTATTGTCTGTAGCCATCGCTGAGAATTCCTCGCCCTATCAGAAATATTTTATCGCCATTCGTCGTGCACAGGTTTTGTATGCGTCGTCCTATAATAAAATAATATTATTATAGTAAGTACTGAAGTACGGAATAATATTATTTTATAACCTCTACCAACGTYTGACGTCGCGTTATGACGACAAAAGATTTTCTATATACAAACGAATAAAATTGTAGACCCATTATCGTTATACACACATTATATTATAATTCAGCCAGTGCAGAAGAGGATCTGGAGATCTTTTGAGGAAGGAGCGAATTGGTGTCATAGATTGATAGGTACTAACAAAGACGTAACTGAATACTCATTTCCGATTTTCGTATTAAAAGAAATACCTTTTTTTGTATCATTTATTATTTATAAGTTTGAAGTTATAATCATGACTTATGAATTTCACATCAATTTTATCATACGGCACTACAATTCAAGTAAAAAAAAAAGCCCTAGGGAGGGGTAATCACCACGCTGGCCCACCCTCAAATCCACCACTGAGCCARTGGCRTGGTGAAGTAGGGAAGTGTAAATGGTGAGGTGTTGACGTCACCAAGTTTTTAAAAGGGCTGCAAAGTGGTTGGATTTGATTCGTATTGTATAAATTAGATAGGCACATATAAAAACATGAGATTTTCACAGAAAACTGCGATTTTGTTTTCACATATATTTTTAATAACAAAAGAACTAGAATTGATTATTTGAGTCTACGCTTCTACAGAAAGATTAAAGGCGCGGGCTACGGTAATAATTCATATTTTATCCTGTGTTAAAGTGGTAATCAGTCGAGACGAATATTCGATGTGACAATTCAAATTATGTAGAAATTTTCGACGACTTAACCATATTTTGTACAGAGTGTAAATTTATTCTCGAAACCAATAATAGTTTTATGGAATATAGAT